CTTAAGTTAACTTTTAAAAAATCAGTTAAGCAAATGTCGATATAAAATATCAGAATAATATAAGGCCGGCGCCGTGGCTCAATAGGCTAATCCTCCACCTTGCGGCGCCGGCACACCGGGTTCTAGTCCCGGTCGGGGCGCCGGATTCTGTCCCGGTTGCCCCTCTTCCAGGCCAGCTCTCTGCTATGGCCAGGGAGTGCAGTGGAGGATGGCCCAGGTGCTTGGGCCCTGCACCCCATGGGAGACCAGGAAAAAGCACCTGGATCCTGGCTCCTGCCATCGGATCAGCACGGTGCGCCGGCTGCAGCGGCGGCCATTGGAGGGTGAACCAACGGCAAAAGGAAGACCTTTCTCTCTGTCTCTCTCTCTCACTGTCCACTCTGCCTGTCAAAAATAATAATAAAAAAAAAAAAATATATCAGAATAATATATATCGTTTCTGTTTTGGAATATTATAGAAGAGTGTGAGAATTTTATTATTTATTTCATTACTATCAACAGTTCAGCATATTGTGTAGAGACCAGTTTGAATGGATTTTTGTCAGCCTTTTAAATGCTTAGATAATTTGTCATTTTTCTCAACTATATAAAGATTTAAGCTATTTATTTTGTCATGGTGAAGTTTGAATTTTATATCCACTTAGATAAATTATTCCTCAAAAATAAGGTGTCCTCATCTCTGAGATATTCCTAAACATTAAGTCAATTTTATGTAAACACTTATTTGAAAATAGTGCAGCAATATGAAATGCAAAAATTGCAGGCATTTTTACCCATATTCCTGTAACTTATTACAACAAGCATTTTAATTTGTCTCCATTTTCTCCTTACATTTGTAACTTTGCTATTTATTTCAAGCATAAACATATAATTTGTGTTTGATTTTATTTTATTTCTTAAACACACTTTCATACTGATATGCTGTCTTCATATTTAACAAGCTTCCATTCTCAACCAGACTTGACATTAAATCTGACATGCACAGATTCAGGTTCTTAATAAAGCCCTGGATATGCTTCAGTATGTCTAGTAATACTGAATGCAGTCATCTGCATCACAACTGCTGAAATACAGTGCTTGAGTTTGGTGGTGAATTCAATTTTCTATGAAGCAGCTTAAGCACTAGAATGGCTGACTATAATTCAATCAGATTAAATATTGTTACAGAGAGAATGGTTTTCCTTAAAGTAAAAATCAGATCTGTACCCTCATCATTTTTTGCCAGAACTATCACAATCTATAATCTTCCTACTGAGAGTCTTCGGTTTTTAATGTATTGTCTTCCTTGCTGCCTGAGGAATATGTAAACATGCCCCTGTCTTCCACATGATTAACAACATCTGAAATACTTCATGTTGACTTCAGGCTAAAGTCCAAATTCCTTAGAATTGCTCTCAGAATCCTACGTGATCTGTTCTCAACCTACAGACTTATCTACAAGGACTTCTCTAATTCTATCAGACCAAGTAGGTTACATTTTCTCCAGGCTCTCAGTGCCTATGTGACTTCTGTTTTATCACTTGTCTCATTTGAGTCTGATCGTTTTACATATCTGCCTGTTTGTGAATTCAGAAGGAAGAGACTGTAATATATTTCTCTCTCTCTGTATCTTAAGTGTCTCTCACTTTCCCTCTCCTTCCCTCCAAAGGGAGTTTCCAACCCCCTTACAAAGATAGTTTAACAGTTAAATGAATAACAATCAAAATATCAACAATGACAGCGATAATAATGATGGGATTTATCAATATTTACTATTATCAGATACAATGTTACACTAAGTGCATTACCTACCTTACTTACATTTCATTCTTATTAACACATTATCAAGACTTTGATAGCTCCTACAGTATCCATATGAGAAAACTAATCTTAAAGAAATAAATAACTTGCCTAATTTCATCTGCTGTTTTAGTAGCAAACCTGTCATTTGAAATTCATTTGATCTATAAAACATGATTGATCAATACCTGAGAAATAATTCCCAGGTATAAGAAAGTAATGTTTGCATATATTTTATTGACAAATTATGGATATCAATGTAAAAAGGTAAGTACTGAATGTCTACTAGCTATGAGAGTTCCATTTATATAGACCCACTGTAAAGTTCGTGTTATTGTATTTTACAGGCACAGAGAAGGCTCTGAACAAAGCATCATTAATAATTTAAAAATCAAAAGAATTAATGAAATGCATGTGTGACAATTTAAAAAATTTAAAATATCTTCAGGTGGAGCAAATGACAAGCTTCATACTTCAACATAAATAAGAATATTACTTAACAAATGACCATCACTTTATAGTTGAGACTGTTACTGCCAAATGTAGTATAATTTAAATGCCATTGTCCAAGGTTCATCTTCTCTACATTCAGATCCTGAGACAAAATTTTGCCTACAATAGTTTCTGTGACATAAACACAGGAAGCACTGAGGAGCACAATGGGAACAAAAATAAGTATGATGGGAAAGGCAGAGTGCGAGTGCTTAGTAAATGATGCATTGTTAAACTGCTTATCTCTATGGCAACTGAAGCTCAGCATTGCTGGGAATCTCCAGGAGACAATGGAGAACATATTACAGAGTTATCTCACCATTGTTCTATTTGTTCTTCAATTCCCATTCTTCATTTATTGCTACTTGCTCCAGGAGTATTAATTTCCTCTAGAACATATGATCTGCCTTTTGTGCAGAAATGAGGGAAAACTCTCAAAAGAGGATCTTCCTGGCTCACACTGGAATGGTGTGGACTAAGGGGATGTTGGTGGTGCAAAGACATCATCTGCTAGAGCCTGTCATTCACAAGCCTCTTCTTGAAACAAAACACATCTATCTTGAACTATATGCATATATAGATAGACTAACAGGTAAAAGATAAACATAAACATGTAGCATTTTATATATATAGACATATAAATGCTATATACCAGATGCTGATTTTTTAAATTTTTCCTTTATAAAAAGAGAACCAACTTCATGTATATCATATATACAATTTTAAGATCCTAATGATGTTTTCTGCCTTACCCTTTCTCCTTCATTTAATCCCACCTTCCCTCAGTCTTTTCTTATTTTTCTTTTAATTTTTACAATATAAACTGTCAATTATCTTTATAAGATAATGATATGACACTCCAACCATAACATAGACAAAATTGGGTTCATTGTCTTCACCCTTAATCCTTGAAACCCTGAAATGTGAACCTCACACACTGTTTTCCTGTATCAGTCTATATTTCATTGGATAGATTGATTACGCTCAATCATGAGAAATCTTAAAAAACTTTTCTTGGTTATCAAGTCATGTCAATTCTATTACCAAATATATTTTAAACCTGTTTTCCATAAGCCAACTTCAACCCTTAAATTTTTAAAATAATTCCCCCAAATTGGTTCAAAGGACACAGAAATATTCTTTTAGCACTCCATTAAACTTTTGAATCTACACTATCAATGTCATTTAAAATTGCAATTGCCTGTTAGTCTGTTTCCCATTAAACTGTATATGAGGAAGGACTAGGTATTGTTCAATGTTTTAACTCTACCTTGGAGTCTGGCTTATATCAAACTCTCAGAAAAACATTGTGACTTGAATGAATGGATGAGTAAATGAGTGAGTAGAAGGTATTTCACACTTTATGTGTAGTTGTAATTTGAGCTCATGCAGGTAGAAATTTATTGAAAATTTGGAGAGAAAACCTTTTTGCATATGATTAGTCTTGCATCCTTTTCTGCCTGCCAGTTTTCTGACTGGATTGGTCATGACTATAAGACATCTTTTGACAGTCATAACCTATTGATTATTTATTGGATATTCATCTGAAAGCCATTACTGTTTAATTAATAAGATAGTGATATGTGTAACTTGTTATCGTAATGTTTAAAGAGTAATTTCTCCTCTTAGAAATATTACTGGATTCTCAGAACCTTGTGAAATATGATGGTTTGTACAATAGGTGTGATTATTATTATTGATATATGAAGCACAGTTATTTTGGGCTATTAGCTTTGTTCAGAGAAATGATGATCTTATATAATTATGACCAAATATACTGAACTATATTAGTACTCTTTTCCAAATCTGTATGTTATATGTGAAATTACCAGCCTTGCTACACTTTTGGAAATTACTGACAGATCTAATTCATTTTATATTTTTTTTGTCATTTAAGTTGTCCTAAAATGAATTCCATGTTTTTACAGCATCTTTATGCCAACATCATAGTCTGATGTAGATAGTTTTCACAACTTTATTTATTGCTTTTAGAAACATCAAATTAACTTGTTTGATAAAAATGATAACTTTTAAATTAATTAATAGAAGGATAGAATGAAAAAAATTTTTCCATTTTGGCTTCTTGGATTATTGCATAATGGAAAATACCAACCTGAGGTTTCTTTTTCTGGTTTCTGTTAGGATTGTGATAATGTCTTTGTTTGGATTTCTTACTCTGTGGTTATAGTTATTAAATTATTATTTAGTATTAAGTGTTCTATTTTTCCATTGAAAGCCTATAGGTTTCTTTTTTTCTCCCCTATAGCTTTAAATACTGTCGAACCATAAAAAACACTAAAATCAAAAATGACTAATAAAGCATAATTATTACAGAAGTTAAATTTTTAAAACTTCAGAAAAGCAATCTAAACCTTAATCATGTGCTCAGTGGAAACAATTTTAATGCCTATAATTTACCCTTATTTTTATTTCATAACAATGGAAAAATGTACCTTAAGGAGAGCACATTTCTTCATCCTGACATATCTGAGCCTCTAATACAAAAGAGAATAAAATAATTGTTTCATTAAAATTTAAGTGAAAGGGTATCATTAAAGAATTCTCTGAATGAAGAGAATAACTATTACAATGTACAAGTTCTTGCTGTGAAAGTATTAGGCAAAGTCATGTTTTTACAGTTGTCTGATAACAGTGAATAAACAACAATATAAGATATACAATAGTTTTGCATTTCATTTAGCTATTTTTTCTTCCTTCATCATCTCCAGCTGCAAGCACAAGATGTACTTGGAAAGACTGCCAAACACCAGCATCATTATCCCATTTCATAATGAAGGTTGGACTTCACTCCTGCGGACTATACACAGTATAATTAACCGAACTCCAGAGAGTCTGATAGCAGAAATCATTCTAGTAGATGACTTCAGTGACAGAGGTAAGACAAAGTTGAGAACACTTTATCTGATTTTGTTATCACCATGTAATAATTAAGGGCTTTTTAAAAAAGATAGTGTTTCTTCTGATTCTATCCAAAAGGTGATTATAAAGTTTTATTTATATAGTAACTACAGAAACCACTGGCTAATTAGAAAAAAAAGTTAATGAGAAGCTATTGGTGTCTGGGGAACTGTGCATTCTATTTCTGTTGTAAATTAGACAGGAGTTGGCAAAACGCCTCAGATTTTACTTTCAGATTCAGACAAGCATCACAAAATATATTAGTGTAACTACACGTGAGTGGTGAGACATTGAAGTAGAGCTATAAAATCTGTTCCTGTTTCTGAAAAGTGTATCTACTCTATTATTTACCAGTATGGCACATTATCCAGGCTGTGCTTGTGTTACTTCATATATATTAGAAATTATGAGAGACCCAAATACATATATTTGCTTGGCAGTACTAGTTATTGTATCCTATCTGAACAACAACAAAAATAATTTGATGTATAGAGTATTAGAAAATTTGACAGAAGTTTTAATATTTTTACCCAGTTGATAAAACATAGTTTGGTTTGTAAGACAGGAGAATAATATTACAGAAAGTTTCCTGAGAGTAAGATTTCATAAGGCAGATTGTGTCTAAATATAGGAGTTGTTAACATGCAGAGAAAGTAAAGCCCCTCTTATCTGGATTTTTCTTTTGAAAAAGGAAACCTTTCTAATGATATTCATGTAGTTGGTAATATAATTTTCTACCATATATTTCATTGTATGAAGAAGTTTTACTTACCTGTGTTTAAGAAAGAATGACAGTAAAAAGATCTGAATATTATTCTTATGTCTCGAAAGAATATTCATCTTGAGATCATATGGGTTAATTGAGGTTTGGGGAATTTCATTTACTGCAAAAATGTCATTTTGTCATAGTGTTCAAAAATTCTGTGAAAGATTTCCCAGTGTGTTAATTTTGTGGATTTGTTAAAACAGAGTTCTGGTTTTCAATGACTTATTCTAAGTAACAATTCAGGGTTACTCAACATCTGTTTGTGTTGTTGGAGCTTAAGTGACAGAGATGCAGTTGTTCAACAATAATCAATTAAAATGTCAACTAGTGCCTTGATCATTTAGGTTTGATTCCAAAGAGTGTTTTGTCTTCTGTTTTTTTGGGAAGGTATGATTTCAGTACTACCAAATAATAAGAGCAGTACCTAAAACTGAAATTTTCAGAGATTTAAAAAATATTTAAATAGAACATTCACTTATTTTTATTCTAATTGAGGCTACTTATTTCAAAAATAGTCACTCTTACCTCAAACTAAAAATAGGTACTTAATGTGTTAAAACTAAATTTTCTTTAAAAAAATGAAAAAGAATAGAAAGATAGATGAAGATTATTAAATGAATGGTATTTTTGGTTAGTATCTGGAGAAATAAGGCAGTTTCTCTTTTTAGTGATTTTCTGCATGATTAACTTTGCCCTGGTAAACTATTTGTTATAGCAGATTTTGACCTGACAGTAACATAGTAAGAAATATTTGATAAGAAATTGTAGTTTATAGAGTATGTTTTGTTGAATATTTCTCATAGGGTATTTTTGAACTGAATGTCTCTAAAGAGAGAGAGAAAATAATGGCCCTTTCATTTTATCATATCATCATTGGTACAGTAGCAACTTTAATGGACTTTCCGTATATGATGTTAGCTGGGAAATAGGCAAACTGTCAATGTAATTAATGTTTGTGAAGTAGAACAACAGGAATAGAGTTATTTGGAATAATAATGGTGATTTTGTTAGCTTTTTATTGGACATTTTGAAGAATAGTCATTATTTTAATACTTAAATAAAACTTTCATTTAGGTATTCTACTCCTGTGAGCCATCAAGTTTAAAGTATTAATTTATAATCAAACATAAAAGTGAATTGGAAAGAATAAATGATAAAAATAGTTCTCTAATCTTTTATAATACATCACAATATTAAAGTTATATGAAATAGAAAAGACCCTCCTGCCAATTCTTTCTTTGGATTATAAGATCTTTTTTGATAGTATTAGTTGGTGTTTTATAGTGTTTGAGTGGAACTATGGAGCACTTCTTCTGCTTTCTGAATTATGGGGAATATAAAGATTTAACAGATTGGGCAGGTCAGAATTCCAACACAACTATTACCTGTTTGATATTGGCTAAATTAACTTCTTATGTCTCAGACATTTGGTCAAAATGGGAAGAACGATAGTGACTCTTCAGAGAGAAGTTATGATGGAGAATGATCATGGATGGGTCAGTGACACAGGTTGGTAATTACATAGCAGAGTGATTGCTCTCACCACCAAATACTCTCCAATTTTATAGCATATAGTTTCCATAGGCTTTAAGGAGATCCTCTTGATTTAATCAAATCTAGTCCACTAAAGTGTCTGCAGAGACAACAGCAGTCGCTTAGAAGACTTGTGAAGACTATGGTAACTCATACTGTATTGCAAAAATTGTATTGTTTTAATGTTTAAAAATGTTGGACATGATCAACTGTTGAAATAAAATAAAGTTCTAAGTAAATAATAAAGAAACTATATTACCCACCAAAATTACACAAATGTTCAACATATTATGTTTTAAGATAATTTTTACCACTACAAAACAAAAGCTTTCCTAAGATGTCTCTTGTTTGCAGAACCTCTATGAGAAACTTTTTTCCTTCTTTATAATATATCCATATAATTGTGCTGTTAAGAACAGTAATTAACATAATTTTTTTGGACAGCTTCAGAAAACATAATCTTGTGGCATAGAAAATCATTTCCACCAACCCTTTAAAAAATCAGATTAATTAGACTAGACAAATTTTAAGGTACAGGAGGATATAGAAAGTCTGTTGGCTTCCCTTAGGAAATTATTTCTGAAGCATTGCACTCTAAATTTATTTTCAGGATACATACCAATTCCAATTCTGTTCCATATGCAATTTATCATCATTTTGCTATTCCTCTTCTGGATATTCTGCAATGTCTTTTGGCCAAAGGCAATAAATTTTTAACAAGATTTAATCAAATATTACTGTCTTATGTTTTATATCCTCAAGGTCACTAGAATAGCTACCCATGAAAAAAAATAGAAAGTCAATGCTTTATTCATATTATTAGCACCAGTAAAATCAACAGAATTCATATTTCCAACAACTGTTAAATATTGTGATTGGCAAATTTTGAACAGTAGGATTCATACCAATAAAGAAAGAGAAACACTAAAACATTAATAATAATAAAATATTTCTAAATTATTACCAAATGATTTTTAAACATCTGTCCAAATAGGATTGACCCAGTTCTTAAAATGTTTTTTTTTATAAAGTGAGTATCCCATCAAACTTTTCTTAGTGTAGATATTTTTCCTAAGGCAAATTTGGTATACAGAATATTATTTTAGCTTCACAACATAAGCTTACCATGTATAAAAACATGAAGGTTCAGGCCTGCAGGTAAATTTTCAACAACTACCACTGTGTTTTTGCTTTCTGAAGCTTACGAAAGTTAGTGAATGTGACTTTTTTTTTTCTGCAGTAAGCTCTCAGAAATACATTTAACAACTTAACTTGAGGCCTATAACAAGGCTTCATGATGACTTTAAAGCAGGACTAATCCCAGGCTTATCTCCAAATTCCAGGCAACCTTAACAGCATCCACATGGAAACTGCTGAAATGTGTGAAATAAGCTGAGGCTTAACCTCAGAGATAGGGTATATTTGAACCTGACAATTCTCTAAACTCTGTGTGCTCAGATGAATGCAATTCCAAATTGCGGATAGTCACAGAAGAGCTGCTGACACACTTTCCTTAATGCTAATATGAAGGTATTACCATGCACCCCGACACAGAAACACAAACACAGGACATTCACACCACACTCATTCTTGCCTCTGCTTGTCTGTAACTTCCTAGTCAGAAAAAGTAGATAGTTGAAAATTTGAGTTTCACAAAGATTTATAGTTCTCTATGTACTACTTAGAGGGAAAAATTCTCCTAAGTCACAATGCCAGGGACTTTAAATAAATCCAGGTCTTTCTTTCTCAGCTAGTCTATATGCTTTCTACCCAGAGAATGGGCTGTAAACTAGCAACATCAGCAGCATTGTGATACTTGCTAGAAATTCAGAATTTTAGCCAGAATAGTTGGAGTCTTCATTTTGATCTGATCAACATGTAGTTGTTACAAAAAGTAAAATTTGAAAATCCCTGTCATGTTTTCGAAAGTGGAGTTGGAGCTAAACTGAATAATGTAGGGGCATAAATTATCTAATTTCAAAAAATAACCTTCCTATTCCTTATGCAGGTTTTTATGGAATGAATTTTGTTTGTTTATATTATTTAATGTGTAATTCATATTGAATTTATATGTTTGTCAAGGACCTCTACATTATTTCATTATTGTTAGATTCCTGTGATGGATCTTGGCATTTTCACAAACTTGTAAACGCTTTGCATTCTTATGAGCTCATTTTATAGCATTTTGTGTTTAATTTCAGGTTACTGCCATTACCCCTTCCCTTGCCAATTTTCCTTCTTTACCATATAAATGATGTCTTCTAACATTTTATAGATCTATTTTGCTTTGGAATCATTCAATAATTTTATGCTAGGTTCAGAAACAGAGAAAAAAAAGACCAAATATATATGATAATAGTGCAAAGGAGTCTTTATAAAGATCTGTGTTACCATGAAAATGTCCAGCCTGTTCACATAGTTGAAAGTGTTTATAAACCTTTAAAAAACAGGAAAAACAAGGATATTTTAAATGATTTCACAAAGGATATAAACAAGTCTTTAATCTCAATTGCTTTTTTTGTAAATAGTCCCTTAGAAACACTAAGGGAAGCTTCTATAAGCAAAACATCAGCACACATTTTCCAACAATTCAAATTTGGACACCATCCATGTGAAATGGTGGTATGATAGCTGGAGAATGGGAGTGCACTTCTATTTTCTATTATGAAATCCTAACA